TGATCGCAGGGGCTGGCTTGGCTCCCTCTTGGCTCTTGGATCACCTTCCCTGTCTCATAACCCTCTAGGCCTGCCTGATTAAGGAAGCAAGGATCGTCCTGCGTGGTCCCAGGAGAGCTTCTCTGTGGCACTTGGAGGCCTCCCAAACCAGGCATGCATCTACCCAGACACGAATTGGTCTGACTGAGCGTAATTCAGCCCCTGTGTCTTCATCTAGAAAAAGTGTGGTGTGTTTTTAATTTGACCAGATGTTCCAAACACCTCGCCAGAGGTCCACACGGACTCTCGCTGATGTCCTTCAGACCAGAGTCCAGACAGTTTCTGTCCAGTCAAAGGACAGAAAGAAGCGAGTTCGACCTGTCAGAAGCCAAGCCAACCCTGAGACAACACCCCTCTCCTGTTCCCAATTACTTAAGACACATACCTTAACCTGTCTCGGCCCCGCATGGGCCGGCCCGTATCCCTACACATCCCCAGCACCCCCGCTCCTCCACCTCGGAAATCAGGGCACAACCAACGGCCTGTCATTTGTACACGCTGCTCACACCAACACAGCCCCGGGGAGATGCACCCCAATATTGTCCGGCAGGAGCAGCTGTCCGGCAGAGCACGAACACAAGGAAAACCTCCAGGATCGCGTGCAGTGGGGGAACCATATGAAATTGCCACGTTTGTAGGTAAGTGACAGTCTAATGTCAACAACTTCACATGGTCATGCGGGATCTACCAGGGCAGTGGTCTTCAAAGTGTGGCCCGCAGACTCCTGTGGGGGAGGAGGAATGGCTCCCAAAGGCCCTTTCAAGAACACGAGCGCACTAGCCGGTTTGGCTCAGTGGATGATGTCGGCCTGTGGACCAAAGGGTCCCGGGTTCCATTCCAGTCAAGGGCACATATCTTGGTTGCAGGCTCCTCCCTGCCCGGGAGCCTGGTCAGGGCGCGTGCAGGAGGCAACGAATCGATGTGTTTCTCTCACATGCATGTTTCTCTCTGTCTTTCCCTCTCTCTCCTACTCTCTCTGAAAATCAATGGAAACATATCCTCGGGTGAGGAGGAAGAAGAAGGAGGAGGAGGAGGAGGAGGAGGAGGAGGAGGAGGAGGAGGAGGGGGAGGAGGAGGAGGAGGGGAAGAAAAACACAAGGTCAAATTATTTTCCTAGTAATACTAAGGTGCGCATTGCCTCTGCGCCATGTTAACCTCCGCACTGACGGAAGCACTGGTGTGCTGGTAGGTAGAATTGCACAGGCTGGCTTTCCCTTATTTATTCCCACTAAACAACGTGCCTGCCTCTTATGAGGCCAGACATTATGCGAAAACGCTGAACAATGGCATTCTTCCCACTAATTTCTTTTCGTTTGGAACATATTGTCCATAAAGGCATTTTGTTTGTGTTACTATGGAAAGTAATATTTAAATTTCTGATACGCATCAGTCGATGTAACCCACATAAACAAAAACTCTCTGGGGTCTTCAATCCTTTTGTAAAGTGCCAAGGATTCCTAAGCCCAAGAACTTGGAAAACTCGTACATTAGGACAGTCTTCAGAGAAACATACATGGAGTGGAGACAATGGGAGCCATAAGAGCGTATAAAAGTGTGGCGACAACACTGAGTTCAGAGACCACGGCATTTTTCAGAGTTCAATTTTTTAAATACAAAAAAATAATGAAACAATAATCACTCAGAGCCTCACAACCCATAACAAAATGTTAGCATTTTGTAATATTTGCTTTTAGTCTTTTTACAAATTAATGAATTAACTAAACTTTCCAGCTAACATTAGAATCCCTTTGGTCTCCATTCCATTTCCAAACTCTCGGGTCACTATTGTGAATTTCAGTGGTTTTCTTCCTGTATATTTAATTATAATCTTTTTATAGTATATATAATTGTTTTATGTTCTTTACATTTTTACGTGAAATAATTCAGTCTGTACAAATTCATCAGCTGTGTGTGAGGCTCTGGCTGAAGACTGCCGCCAGGGTTCAAATCCCGACTCTGATGCTTCCTAGTTGTGTGACCTTGAGCAAGTTACTCAACCTCTCTGGGCCCCAGTTTCCTCACCAATAAAATAGGGGTGGTCCTGGAACCTACCCCATAGGTTATTCTGAGTTTTAATATAAAGGCCTACAACAGCATTTCAGAGTAAGCACTATAAAAGTTTTCGTTCTCATTATTATTCCAACCTCTTGCTTTTTTCCCTCGTGATTTTGAAGTTTATGAACATCCATATACATAGATGGGGTATGTTTCTTGTTCGGTGCTGCATAGTATTTCACTGAATAACCATTTCACATTTTATTATCCTATATAATAAAAGCCTAATATGCAAATTGCCCCCTCAACCGGGAGTTTTGCAGGGAGTTCGACCACTTGCTATGACGTGCACTGACCACCAGGGGGTGGCACAGAACATGGCGGGTGTTGGTGACATGGCACTGGCAGCGGGCAGCAATGGAAATGCTGCAGGCCCCGATGGGCCTCAATGAGAGCGGGACCGGGGCAGGACGGTGGAGCAGGTGAGTGGGTGGTGCCAGGCCAAGGCGGGTGCAAGCCACTGGTCACCGGGCAGGGGCTGGTTGCCCTGCCGATCCAATCACCCCACCGCCCCCTGGCTCCCAGGCACTGAGGGAGCCAGGCGGGGGCCCGATGCCCTGCCAATTCAATCACAGGGCAACCAGCAGCAGCGGTGGGGGGCAGGGCAATCAGTGGGGCGATACGTCCCTGCAGGTGGCAACCAGTGGCAGCAGTGGCAGGCAGGCAGCCAGGGGAAGGGAGGGAGTACCTGCCAGCAGCCAGCAGCTGCTAAGGAACCTACCAATGCACGAATTTCATGCACTGGGCCTCTAGTTCTCTACTAAAAATAATGACAATTATTACTTGTAGAGGTTTATACATTTACTAGAGACCCGGTACATGAATTTGTGCACAGGTGGGATCCCTCTGGATGGCCTGCAGGGATTGGGCCAAAACCTGCAGTCCAACACCACCTGCAGCTCCTACCTACCACTCCTGCTCATCCTGGCCCCACTGTGCCTGCCACAGGCTCGCGCTCAATCCCAATTGGGAGAGGCTCATGCTGCCACAGCAGCACTCGCCAGCCATGAGCCCTGTGTCTGGCGCCCTCCTGAGGGGAGTGGCCTGCAGGATCAGGCCAAAACTGGTTCTCTGACATCCCCCAAGGGGTCCAGATTGTGAGAGGGCTCAGGCTAGGCTGAGGGACCCCACCGGTGCAAGATTGGGGCCAGGGCGGGACTGTGGGAGGACTCCAGGGCATGTCCAGCCCCGTCTCGCCCAGTCCTGATTGGCCGGACCCCAGCAGCAAGCTAACCTACCGGTCAGAGCATCTGCCCCCCAGTGGTCAATGGTCATCATAGCAATTGGTTGACTAGTCAACTGTCTGCCCCCTGGTGATCAGTGCATGTCATAGGGAGAGGTTGAGCAACCTTAGCATATCATTAGCATATTACGCTTTGATTGGTTGAACAGTTGACTGGTCACCAGATGATCGGAAACTTAGCATATTAGGCTTTTATTATAGACTAGAGGCCCAGCGGGTAGGGTCCCCAGGCCTAGCCTGCGATCAGGGCCTGCTCCTGCCTGCTCGCCAGTCCCCAGTCCCGCCCTGCTGCCACCCACCCCAGTTCCCCGTGGTTCCCTGTTCACCATCGGTGATCGGAGCCTGCGGGCCCGTGGGGAGGGACCGAGAGGTGGTCAATGCATTTCACAGTGGTCAAGCGATCATTATGACATTATGATCGCTGGGCTTTTATTATATAGGATGATGATAGTGTCAAATAGTGACTGATGTTCTCCAGCAGGGCCCAGCCTCCCGCAGGCTCAGTGTCTGTGTGGTAGGCAGAAGAATGACACCCCCAATGCCAGGCCTGTGGACACATTAAGGGGAACTAAGATTGCAGGTGGAAGTCAGGTTGGTTATCCCTTAACCTAGACATGGAGAGGTGATCTGGGTGATCTGGGTAAGCCAAACGCAATCAGAGGGTCTTTATAAGTGGAAGAGGGAGGCAGAAGAGAGAGGAGCAGAGAGAGAGAAGCAGAGAGGTGGCAGGTGAGAAGGACTTGACCGGACATTGCTTGCTCTTACGAAGGGGCCACAAGCCAGGGAGTGCAGGCAGGATCCCACAGCTGGGAGGGCGAGGAGCAGGGCCTCGGGAGGAGGGAGGAGCCGGTGCTTCCTCCTACTTCTTGGTTCTGGGGTGTCCGCCTTCTGGTCTCCCGAACAGGAGATAGTAAATGTGGGTGAAGCCAGTACGTTGTGGTCGTTTGTTACAGCAACAGTGAGAAGGAGTGTCTCAGTGGCAGGATGGAGAAGGCTGACAGCTGGGGTTTTTCGTGCACAAGGGACATGAAAACCCACGTGTGACAGATATTGGCAAGAAAGTGGCTGAAAGGACCGTTGGGACCTTGAGCTGATGAAGCGAAGAGAGGGAAGGGAGCCGTGAGACAGAGGGGAGGGGGCCGGCAGCAGGGGCTAAGGTGGGGCTCTGGAGGGCCCGGGCTGAGTTCCTAACACAGAGGTGGGGCTTTGGGGATGACGAGGTCTGAGGGTGACTTGGAGGGGCGGCCGAGGCAGAGGGAAGGAGGTCATGGGAAAGCAGAGGTGAGCCAACTCAGGGGTGCGGGGAGACACAGGGACACTTCTGGGGAGTCAGCTGCAGGCGCCGGTTCCCGAGGCACCAGGCAGTGTGACGGCGCGCGGTCGCACAGGGGTGCGCCTCCCGGCACGCTGGGGGTTGGAGCGCCGCAGGCGGCTGTGATGAGCCTCAGGGGACTGTGGGACCGGGTCTCTGGGGACGCGCGGGGGAGGGACTCTGTGTGCATCGCTGTGGCACGCGTGGGTGTCCGGCTGCGGAGGCAGAATGGATGTGTGCGCTGCGCGTACGGGGCGGGTGTGGGGTGTGCGTGGATGTGGACGGAGCTTCGTGGGAGGGAGGGAGGGAGGGGGAAAGAGGGCCCGCGGGAGGCGGCCGGGAGGCGGGCCGGTGCGGGTGGCCGGGCCTGGGCGCCGCCAAGCTCCGCCCGCGGGCGCTCCCGGCTTCCCCGCCCCGCGCCTGCCCTGCGCCGGTCCCGGCGCTCCAGCCCCACTCCGCCGCCGCCAGCCGCCACGAGGCCGACAGGTAGGACAGCGCCCCCCCCCCCCCCATCCTCCCCGCGCCCTCCGCGCTCCCGGCGGAAGTTTCTCAGCCCGGGCGCCGGGGCACTGGGGACCCCGCCTCGGGGCAGGGGACCCTGCGGGCTGAGACGAGCCCCGCGAGTGCGCGGCGCGGGGCGCGTGGTTCAGGAGAGTGACCAGGCGACACCGGGGCACGGACCGGCGCGGCAGAGCGCGGATGTGTGGGGTGACGCGCGGATGTGTGGGGGTGAGCGGCTCGCCTTCTTGGCCGCGGTCCCGGGGAGCGCTGCGCGGCGGAGGGCGGAGGGCAGGGCGGGGGCGGAGGGGGAGACCCGCGGGACCCCACTGCCCAGCTTTGAACCTGGAAACCCCCGAGCCCGCCAGCGAGCGGCTGGGAGCGGGTGTGCTCTCCCGGTGCCGGGAGGGCTGGACGGAGGCGGGGTCTGTCCAGAGCGCCACATCGCTGTGACTTGGGGGCCGGGGAGAAGTTGGGAACAGAGGGTACGCAGGTGGAGCGGGGACCTTCCCCTGTGGCGCAGCGGGAAACTGAGGCACGGAGAAGTGCAGGGAAGACGCAGAACTTCTGCCGTCGGTAGGAAGCTTCGCAGCACCCCACTCCATCCCTGCCAAGGAGCCCTCAGGCGGGGGACTGCGTGAAGGCGCCCCCAGATCTAGGCATCCTGTGTCCCAGCCTTCCAACCGACTGTGTCCACTAGGAATGCCTGGCTCCAGCCTCCTCCTTTATCTGTAACCTGCCACCCCCTGCCCCCTTTGCCACCCCTGCCACCCCCTGCCCCCCTTTGCCACCCCTCCCCCCTGCCCCCGCCCCCTCCCCCCTGCCCCCGAGGGGAGCAGCTCCAGGACTTGGTGTGTGAGCTGCGCGGTGTGTGGGCGGCCGTGCGATCACCCACAGCACTTGGCGACTGTGCTTCCCCGTCTTCCCTGTAATCGCTGCTGCGCCGATCTGGCTTATTTATCTCAACCTGCAGAGGCTTCCACCTGCTCTGCGTCCTGGTGGGCGTTTAGGTCACAAAAATGGAGGGACTGGTTTTTATTTTATTTTTATTTCAGCCTTTTGTATAAATGATACCTCTGGGTTGAATCAGAGTTCTTTGCTCTTTGTCCTAAACTAACTTCACAGGATCTGAATTTGGGGTTCAAAGTCTCCTCATCTCATTGCACACACACATGATTGCACACATGCATGTGTGCGCACCTGGCCTACACACATACGCATGCACATGTTCATACATGTGTGCACTGCACATGCACAGGTGCACATATGTACACCTGTCTAGCTGTGGACAAGGACACCCCTCCCGCTGTGGCCCCTGCTGAGCCCGAAGACCTGAGACAGCCAGGCCACAAGCTCTGCCTGTCCGGGCCCCAGTGGGCAGTCCCCATAGGGGTGGGTCCAGGGCTTCTCCTTAGATGCTCCCGTGTCGCCCCCACTCTCCAATGGCAGACAGAGGAGTTCGGCACGGTGGCCACAGACAGGCGTGTCCAGGTCCTGCTGGTGTACCACAGACCTGCCGGTCCAGGCTGTGAGGAGGGCCTGATGCCCTGGAGTGGGTGCACCAGACATGGGCTGGCATGACAGCCGGAGAGAAAAGCTGCAATCAGAGATGCTTGGATCACAATCCCAGCCCTGCCCCGCCCCTCCCCAGGTGGGGCAATTCCCTTCCCTGCCTCAGCCCCAGCTGTCTCATCTGTGACGCGGGTGGCGACACGGGAACTGTGGCGGGGTCTACGGGAGGAAGAAGCACAGTGTGCAGAGCACTGTGGGCGCTCGGCGAGCAGGAAACCTCGGCCTGGGCAGGGCCGGCCCAGAGATGGCCCCGGGGTGGTGACGCGCAGAGCCAGTATGTGGGGCCTCGTCCACACGGGGCAGGCAGGGAATCCTGAGAGCTGAGTGGCCCTGAGGGTGAGGTTTGGCTTGTGGAGAGCCCAGCCTGGCTCCGTGCAGTCCAGAAGCGTCAGGGCACCTACCATAGGTCCGCGCTGAGCGAGGCTGCAGAGACACAGCCGGGGTCCTGCCTGTGAGATGCAGGAAATGGTAGACGTCTCAAAGGAGACCTGTGGGGAGCTTTTATGAGGCCTATGTTCCTTTAAAAACTTTTGCTTACTCCCAAGATTTTAAAAAGTGGGAGATGTCACATAAAACTCCGTGTTTCTGGATCCTCTTGAGAAAAGAGAATCAGAAAAGCTGACAACTCCAGGCCCCACATGTGGCTTCCCCTTTGGATGGGCAGGCGCCCTCCAGGGTGCCCTCGTCCCCAGGGGCCCGCCCCTCATTCTTAAAGAGCAGCACAGTGTGAAAGTCAGCACCCTGACCACCGCCAGCTCTGCACCCCAGCTCTGGCACACAGTTGTGTGGTCTCAGGCAAATTACTCAGCATTTTTGTGACTCCGTTTCCTTGTATGTAAAATATGGGTAATAAGGAGCATGTCTCAAGGGCTTATTCTAGGCATTATGTCAGTCAGCAACCCAGCCCTCTGAGAGGGTGCCCGGTGCATGGGCCGCGCTCAGTGCGGGCCTGGTGTAAGAATGGTAGTGCTGGCTGCCTGATCATGTGTTCTCCGAATTGTGCTCCACATAAAATGCTGTGGAAACACAAGTAAAGGAAGAAAGAGGGGAGGGAGGGAAAGTAACACTTTGAGCTCCTTCTTCAAATCGGAGGCTGCAATCCTCGATCTTTTTCTGCCCAAGGACAGGAAGAGGACATTTCAAGGAAAGCTACAAAGAGGAGGGACTTCTAAAGTGGGTTTTGAAGGGTGAATATGAGTTTCTGTGGAGCAGTAGAATGAAAATGGCATTTGCACCCAGAAATAACCTTTACAAAGGCCTGGAGGCATGGCCAGGACACGCATGTTTAGGGGTGCCAAGCAGCCCAGTGCAGCGGTGAGGTGAAGTACCCAGTGTGTAGGGAGAGGCAGGAAGACGCGTCTGGGCAGACAGAGAGGGGCTGAAATCATGATGGGCTTCTGGCAGGAAAAGGGATGCACAGCCGGCCGACGACGCACAGCGGTTGAGCATTGACCTATGAATCAGGACACGGTTGGATTCCGGTCAAGGGCACATGCCTGGGTTTTGGGCTCAATTCCCAGTGTGAAGCGTGCAGGAGGCAGCCGATGGATGATTCTCATCATTGATGCTTCTCTCTCCCTCGCCCTCGCCCTTCCTCTCTGAAATAAAAAGGGGGTGCACATTCTTGTGCACTTCTTGTGTGCAGGCGCTCATATCACCACCCCTGCGACCTCAGATGCCCCTGGAATCGGGTTTTGTGATCCCCAATTTCGAGTTAGACGAAGGCTCAGGGAGGGTGAGTTGCTTGCCCAAGAGCCCACACAGTGGGTCAGTGGCAGAGCTGGGGTCAGACCCCAGACCTGTGTGATTCTAAAGGCTGGGCCCCCTCTCTGAACCTCCGTTTTCTCAGTGTAAAGTGGAGACAGGGCCAGTGGAACCGCCTGAGAGGTGGGCTGTGAGCACCAGATGCGTGAATGAAGCGCACAGCCCCTGGCACGTAGTGGTTGCTGTGGTGATTTTGATTGGAATGAGGCCCCTCAGCCTCTCACACCTCTGCCCAGCCTCAGACGGGGGAGGGGCAGGGGTCTCTGAAGGTGGCCCCTGGGTCAGCAGCCTCAGCGTCCATCACCTGTCACCCTGAGCTTGTTAGAAATGCAGGTCTCAGACACGCAGAGGCGTGGGGATGGGCCCAGCAACCTGCCCTGGGACCTGCCCTCCAGGTGGGTCTCGTGCTCCCTGACATTGCAGTCACTGGCCTAGAGGAGGACTTCACTTGCGATCTCCGGCCCGCATCCACCGCCCTAGAAGGGTGAGTGGATGGGAGAATTCTGTGCTCAGCCAAGCCCCCTGCTCCGGAGGCTGCACGGGACCGTTTCGTACAGACGGAAGGTCGCGGGCCGCGGGGTCCGGTGGTCATCCTTTAGGAGTTGCTCTCCTTCCTACTCCTGCAGCCCCAGTTCGCCCATCTTGAGATTTCTGAGGACTCATCGCCCTGCGAAAAGCTTGTTATTGGGGCTGTCCGGCTGGGGCTTTGGGGCGGCCTCTTCTCCCCTGACTCCCATGGGGATGCGTGTCCAGGCCAGTCCTGGGCAGGGGGTGCGCCCGTGGCTCTGTACTGAGGACACTGAGGAGGTCCCGGGTCAAGTGCGAGGAGGCGCGTCCGGCTGGGACAGTCGCAGCTGCCAGAGGACCTCCAGGGAGAAGCAGGCCGCTCAGAGCTGTCGGGAGCGAGGAGCTGCACAGCCCCACGGGGAGGTGCACGGTCAAAGTCGCTAGTCTGCCAACATGAAAGTGAATGTTTTCTGCACAACCAAAACCAAAAGCACCCATAAACCCAGGCACATCAAAGGAATCCAAATATTTGCCACCTTTACGACAAAGAGTTAATGCCATGGGTAAAGACCAGCCACCCCATCCGAAAGAGAAGAAGAGAGTAATGGAAAGGATTTGGCTGTTCACTTAGAAAGAAGACAAACTGAATACAAACGGATGAAAACAAGCTCGGACCACATGGAACTGTCTCCCGCCGCCAGGGCACAGGCGGCCGTGCGGGGAAGCCAGGCTCCAGCCCTGCGGCGGGAGCACCAACCGGGCAACCTCGGGGCGTCCTCGGGGCACTGCCCTTCCACCTCCAGGGCTGAGCACAGCGCGCCAGGACCAGGTGGCACGTACATAAGAGCAAGCAATGACACGCTGACCACACGTCCACCAGAAGGACCGGCACTGTGGGCACAGCCGCGCCGGAGAAGGCGACGCGGCCCCTTGCAGGAGAGCAGCGGCTCTGAAGAACAGATGTGAAATCCTCTCCCAGCTGTGCTGTCTGCCGTGTGTGTGTGTGTGTGTGTGTGTGTGTGTGTGTGTGGAAAAGGGCCTCCACAGGCATGTATAATGTATACATTTATGTGTGCACATTAGAAGCTGGGGGACAGCCTGGAAGCTGCTGAGAGTGGTTGACTTTGGGGAGGGAAGTTAATGAC